TGAACAAATGAAAATTGCGACGATCAAGTGATATAAGAATAAAACGGCAAGAGATAGATCAAACATTTCAGACTAAAACAAAGACGAGATAAGATAAAGTATGATTTTCCAAGCCTCGGGATAAGGAAACTTAATGATTTCTAACCACTTCTCAAATTTCAGACGTCATCCTGTGAGAAAGGTTTCCTTAAACCTAATCAAGTTAGTTTTTCCTCTAGGTATGCTCGGTCAGATTTTACCTGGGTTAGACTAAGATAAGTGACGACCGGTACATGGCTAAGACATGGGCCTAATAATCCAATGTTCAGATTTCCTAATACTCTGTGAAAAGAATCTCTTACTTACAAATTAACATTTGAATATAACGAAAAGTGGTTAATTCTGTTTTAAAAGATAAAAAAAATATAGCTGATGATCGAAATTGTTTTTGGTACGCGCCTGAATAACTTGTCGATAAAATGAAGTTTGTGAATGATTTAGTTCAGATTAACCTTCTCTCAATCAACTGTCTACTACAGATATAGGAAAATGCTATATTTGAACGTTTACTTATTTTTTGTCTATTGCATTGCAAATGTACATTTGATTTGGTTCAAATATGTTTTAAAATTACTTATGTATGTTCATATCAAATCTAATTTTCTTTCCGATAAGTTGACAACTGTTTGAGCATAATGTTGTTTGTTTATTGGTGTAAAACGCTTGTGACAAAACAGTACTCTCCTAAATTTCATGTTATGCTGGTATTCTTACGAATTCATTTCTGAATTTGATACCACTGGGTTGGCATCTTGACTGTTTTGAAGTGTGGCGAAAGATACAAAAAAAGCCGTTCGAGACAGTTTGGTTGCAGGTTCTGCAGGTCGAGTTTTTATTCCTCGAAGTTTGCATCAACAATGTATGTCATATCTAAAAGGTATACCTGAGAGTTATAAACATCACAATAGTTTCATATCAAGGATTCAAATAATAACTTTAATTCAGGAGATAGCAACAATTGCCAATGGGACGGCAATTTTCGACGGGCTTTTGATTGTGACGTCATAACGTGACGTCATTTTTCTGTAAAGACGTCATAATATGAAAGACCACTTAAATCATCCATATGTTTTCCACATAAAATACGTGTGTACCAAAGTAGAGATGACAGTAAACAAAGTCTAAAGGGCTTAGTGTGTTTACATTTTCAGAATTTCTGCTTAACTTTTCCCAAATTTTCATTACAATTACCCTGGCTGACAAGCCTTAGTACTTAAGTTATCTGTTACTAGTTGCGTTGTACATGTACTCGGTAAATTCTGCGTCATTTTACAGCAAATTGATTGATTGAGATTGTCTGTTTAGTCAGGAAGACGTTACCGTATACACCAGAGAGCCAAAGACTGTAAATAATAAAAAATGATGACAAGAATTTCTTATTTGAATTCAATATCAACCAGTGCAATTGTATATAATCTTTCTAGCAACCATTTTTGTGTTTTGTTTTCCCAAGTACAAAATACAATCGGCTTGCATATACGATTACGTTTCCAGCGTGATAGATATCCAGTGCAAATGACCTCCTATTGAAATGCACGCTCCTCTTGTAATGTAATTGGATGTCAATTTGTTTTCATTAGTAACAACAGTACCTATTCATTAACTCAAGCCTTAGATTGATAGTATGGTAAAACGGTAATTATGAAACACAGTTTAGGAATCATATTTGAATATTAAATGCTTGACTGATTAATTACTAGGCGTATACATGTTTCTATTTGGGTTTTGCATTTTGTTCAGGAAACATTATAGATATTTTAGATTGAATATCGTTTTGTTTAGTGATAATTTTCAGGAATAGTCATAAAAGATTAAACATACTTTATGTAAACACAGAATGTAACCTTGTGAGACATGTTTTCGCACTATACTATTTTATTGCAAATTATTTAAAAAGTCGGCCAACAGGGAGAAATGGTCGCGACAATTCATAATGGAAACCAAGAAACGTTAGAGCAATTGAAACCGACGAAACGCCTGACCATAATGAACCAATGTGACACAAGCGTGTAAGAAACCAGTGTGAAACCAAACTTAAAGTACCCAAAGAAACACTGACACTAACGGAACCTGGGAGACGTCAAAACGATAACAAAGACACCATTAAGAGATAGACATTCCGGAATTCGCTGGAATGTCTTCAATAAGCACTAGCGAGGAATGTGTCAGTGGATTCAACCCCCCCGATTTCCTTATCTTCAACATAGCCTTGCAATATGTCTATGTAAGCAACACCTGACTGAGAATACTGGTTGACTAGTCTGGAAACTGTTATTGAATAATACCTGTTATATTCGATGCCGAAAAAAATAGATTATGATTGACATACATATAGCTTCTCTATTGTCTTAAGATATTACAGGACCGAGTTTTATGTCTTCAATCATTCAAAAGAATAAAAATGAGCAGCCTTCCATTTAGTCATAACCAATTACAAAGCTACAAGAGAGATTTTATCTAGTTAGTGTTTTAATGGTAATATCTGTAATGGGGATCTTGTTTGATTCCAGTTTCAATATACCATCACGTTTTCATGTGTCAAAAAAGATGAAGACGTCAACATACACTTGTACAGAATGGTGATTCGTTTTTTGGTTTAATGATTTATGTGTCCTGTCAAAGAGATTGACAGAAGTTATAAATTTCAAGATGAAAATTAATTTCATGTTTGAGTGACTGGAATTTGAATAGGCACTTATATGCTTAAAGTAATTCATAAACTCTTATTTATGGCATAAAATTAATCTACATCAGCCTAGTTGATGTTTGTATGTGAGTAATATTGAAAGGTGGAATCAGTTGACTAGAATATCATTATCAACAGCGACACATACCGTGATTTGCAAACAGAATTTATCCATAACTAGTCGTATATGTTAAAGTTATGTGAATATAGATGATTCCCAATAACAAAATTTGGCCCAGAAAGTGCGACAATTAATTCAAGTTAATCTATCGATTGTAGATATGATTCATGACATATAATCTATATGGTGGTCGAGCAACACTAATTTAACTTCAAATTTGAGATTTTTACGATGATTATGTATATAGTTCGCCTGTATTATGGCTGTAGGTAAAAACGAAACGATAATATTAAATTAATGTTAAAAATTTAATTTAAGGAACATAAAAGACATTTTATCGTTGTGATCCTGATTTGTCCACCATTTTATTTCAATACTAAAATACAACATTCCGAAAAGGACAATCGCCATCAAGGCACATTTCATTCATTTCATTCCTAAGACATAGACACATGGTATAAGGAGTGCATGATGATAAACTGATTATAACGAGTGGGATGTAGTGAGGCAGTTTGACAAAAAACCTAATTTCAAATAAGTTTATATATTTACACTCGCGGGAAAGTAAATCTGATATAAACTAGACAAGGCAAGTATTGGTAATAACAGGAGTTGAACTTAAAGACGGTTATTCATATTACAATTGCGTGAACGCAGGGCTGTTTATCAAATCACTGAAATGTAAGTATCCCTTCTAGGCAGAAAATAAAATCGCAATATTGAATTGATCATATCCCTATGGTTGTTAATAATACCTAAATCAGACAGACTAAATCTGTGATAAGTCTAGGTTCTATGAAAGAAAAAAAAAAAAAAAAGCAAAAACAAAAAACACATGTCAAACTCATTTCTGAAGTTCTCGTGCGAATTGAAATGTCCTTAACAAAAACTTTTGAATTTGAATCTTTAAACTACAATAAAAAATCATGGCATTAAAGCAATAAAGTTATTGAGAATGTAAGAACCGTAAGCCAATTGAATATTTGATACTGTAATAGGTCCCTTATGTCACCGAGAAACCGTATGATCTATTATTTTATTTACTCCAACTATAACATCCAGGAATATGACATACTGCTCCTGAGCCTGGTCATAAATAAAACAATCAAGGCATTATTCGAATTATCAAAGTCATACGCTTTTATATATCTTGGTTGTATCAAGTTTAAAACCATCCAAGATATAAACAGTTCATGTTCAATAATGTGTTTAAATCAATACAGAAACACATTGCACTAATACATTTGTGCATAGGAATGTGTGGCTACCAACATGTATCATAATTGAATTTTGCAATTTCAGAATCTTCAAATAACAGGTATACTCTCCATGAAAATTTCAGCAATAAGATCTTACAAATACGTGATTCAAATCGAAGGTGATAGACATTTTTGGCATTAGCGCTGTAATGTCAATGCATTCAAGTCATTAGGACTATAATCAATTCAGCTTCGATGAACCCGTTTTCACATTATGATCATGGATTTGTGACGTTGTCAAGCATGCTATTTTTCAAACGTCATGTGACCTTTGAATCTATCCACGCTTATAGATTCGAATATTTCAAAACGGTATTATCAAAGACCGGACAAATAGTAGTACAATTACGTTTTTAGCAAGTATGTATACAGAGGTTTGATGGATGTGAGTGATGTCAAGCTTAGTGATGAAACAATATATTCTTCAAGCAAATGTGTATATGGAAGATGAATTCTCTATTCATTTAAGGTAATTTAGTAGAGCAAATATTTAAGACGGGAACAACGCAACCTACCAAATGTTTGATATATCTGAATAAGGCAAAATAGGCAAAGTATCTACAAAGTAGTGGAGAAGAGATATGGCAGAAAAACATCATTACAGTATTGTCTGCTTTAAACTATATTTGATTATTCGGATTTGATTGAATTGAAATAAAATATTATTGGTACAATGTTATATGAAATGTCTCTATATCATCAAAGTAATATCACTGGGGTGAACTTTACAGCTGATTAAAAGTAACTAATTTCAAAGCAATTTAAGGCAAACAGAACATATAAGAAACAGTGATGAGAAAACATGTTATGCCTATCCATTATCAATGAAGGTAGTATACTAGCTATCAATGTTATTGTTGTCAACACTAGGTCGAGTAATGTTGTAAATAAATACCTGTATCTGTACAATCGGGTCCCGGATACTTCCGCGAGAGGGAAGTTACATAATCCACGGTGAACTTATCAGCACATTGACCAGTGGCCAAATGCTCAGAGAAAAAAAGTTCAACACGGGTCCTAGACACTCCTTTGGAATGCACAAGTCCGTATCAGCAAAGTCCATGGAATGCTCACGTGTCACTGATGTAAAAATATGTTGTTATTTCTCAAGGGAATAAACAAGTCCATGGTTTTCCAAGTTCCAAATGAGTTTTCATATACAGAATCCACCAGTCCAAATTTGCACAAATTATTCACAGGTAGTCAATTGGAATTTCAAGGAAAATCACCAGATTCTTGATAATTGTCTCATTTATATTTTCTTTGGTAATGAAGTTTCAGTATGATGTTGTTACTTCAAAGAATAGTAAATATCTTAGCAGGTGAGATGTATGTGCAGGTATGCTATAGTTTCTCAACCAGACAAATCGTCTTGATCATAAGAATTACGTCTGACTACACAAGCCTCTAACTGATGTATATATATACTTTCACCACAGAAGCGAATACACTCCTACCCGATACAGCGAGAGTTAAAATTAGAAGCCAGTAAACCCGTGCGTACGTATATATACACACCGTGTATACAAACGCAGGGAAAGCCCTGTTTGTATGGGAGTAAGGCTTCGAGTAATTGAGCTCAATGCCTAACCTCCTACTCGGGCATACGTCACAGCAGCGCGAATGTCGACAGCATCCACTGTCGTCCGTCCACAATCGATACCTGGATTGTGGCTTGAGCGTACGGTACTACGTAAGAAGTCCTAAATATAGACCCGAGACGGGCTATACATGGAATACACAGTCAAAGCACAGTGATGTAGTCGTCACAACGAAATACGTTAACACATAGGTTACGGTATTATTAAATGCAAACTTTAGAAAAGTGCTTTTGCTGTCGTTCAAAAAGGGGAAAATGTAAATCTGTTGTGACGCTCGATACATGTATGGTCTCTGTAGAGGTATTTTCCATTTACAGATCATAGGAAAAATATTATATTAACTTACCTTGTCATTGATAATCCATGTGTTTTATATATAAAGTATTCGTCACAAGAAATATTGTCATATAAGATAAGGCAACTCAGTTGACAGACACAATTTGTCGAAAGAATTGTAAAATAAAAACCCATATGGTGAAGTACACTATCCATTATATAGTACATATTGTATATATATATTGGGCGGTAACCGACAAGGTTAAATGCATAAACACCACGCATGTAAGATTCATTTCCATAACGGGGGAGGAACGTAATGTTAACTTTAACAAACAAACAAGCACATAGCCCAACTTTACATAAATTGTCTATGCTATACTGAACACTTTTATAAAAATAAGCTATATTATAATGTTTTAAAACCACTCATTACATCGTTGTTTTATCACATCCTGTAGCATAATGTCACTGGTATCCGCTTTACATATGCCTACATAACATTTTATAATTCCAACTGGGAAAGTCATCTAACTTACACAGATTTTGTAAATGAATTCAAACCAGTCAAGACATTATTGCATCTTGAATGGAGAAATGACAATTACTCGGTTATATATCATTCAAATACCACAAGATTTGCAGAGTTGAATTCGCGATATCCAAATTCCAAATATATCTCAACACTCTCGACCCTATATTTACTACAAGAGAAACAGTGTATTTGACTGATAAACAATTCATGATAGATGTACATATTGTTATACTATTCTCGATGAAATTATGTCTTGTGTTTCCAAGATTTCGGGATGTGTTTTGACTTGGTATCCAATACAGAATACGAAAAAAATAAACTATTTCACCCAAAACAATCCACCAATATTGGTAAATAATAAGATGTCTTTTCTGTTTTTTTCTCTTGTATAAGATCTATTTCACTTCATTGCCTCAATTCACCGTGGCTACAGTAAAAACGTGGGACTTATGGGCACCAGGTTACATAGGGGCTATTAGTTACATACAATCGGCCGAACGCATATTCCGACAAAGCTTTTATAGGTTAGAACAGGATATGCAATCTGACTTACCGTGCGAACGAGGTGAACATCGATTAACTTCAATATTGCATTTCTAACAAAAGGATGAACATTTGTGAACCTATATTTGAATTCATATTGAATTTTACGCCAATGCGCTTTAAAGATATGAGATTTTCTTTGTTACAAAAAACGTACAAATTCCTTCTAATAAAGCGGTTTCTTTTATTCTTTATACAGGTACGACTGCATATGTAAGCCAGTAGTTGTTTATAGATAACGCAAGCTTAACCGTACTTTATAAATCGATACAATCACCTATTATACGACAAAATCAAAGAAAGAAAAAATACCCTAATACATCAAGATGAAGATGATGGCTATTTCGTTAATGCATTTATCATCTTGAAAACTTATTTAGATTTTTAAATGAATGTAAGTTTTATTCTAAGCTGATAACACTTGGCATACCTGAAGACTCGGTGAATTAAATGCACGGAGTGTTGATCGTACTTTAAGTGTGTTTACCAGTAAGGAAACGGCGAGACATGTCCCAGAGGCTTGTCATCGCTTGACTGTTGTGGTGATGTTGTCACTAGCCTACGGAAGGCATATTACTGGCACTATAAGGATATGGTTGCTTTGTCTTACCTGCAATAACTGCAATCCCCATGTGTGTAGTTCATGGTATTATAAATAACACAAAACGATTCCATTGTTCTTTGGTATATCAGACACACAAGACATAAAACGCATCTTCCTGAACTGATGTTTTCTATGGGAAATTCAAACTATCAATTCTTCAATATGAAGTTAAGCTATTTTTCAATGTCTAGACCAGATTAAGAATATGAAAGCTGAAATTTAAAAAGAGTGTCATGAAGCGAGCAGTAAGTTCATCTTGACCAGCCAACAGCTAGTTACTATGCTCAAATACTCTCTATCATTCATTCCTGCAGATTATTGTATGTACTTTTCTGCAATCATAGTTCGTTACACGAGCAAATGCCAATTACTTGTCAAGCTAATAAGGGTATGTACACAATGTCTAGACACGACACGATACAGCTTCATTTGTTTCTTTCACCAGAATTTCTCAAATGTTTGTCCGAATTTTAACGTAATTTGCTACATAATAAAGATAGCAGTTGCGGTGATTTAATTCAATTAACTCTATTTGGTATATATATTCAGTTACGATAAAATCATCTGTGGTCTAATATCATACCATGTTATGCATGTATAATAAGAAAAAGATGTAAATTGAAAATGAATATGAAATAAGATATATAAGTAAGCTTAATAGGTGTAGATCGCCATAGGGGGTTACATCATCTTGGTAAGTGATTATTTTAAGACGGCACAAGATTTAAATATTAGGATTTATAGATTCAATTTACAACATATTAAAACGAAACATCGTTAGATATGTATGCCAATAATAAACCGGGTCATGTCTTATATCTCAGTTAGTATCTTTTAGATGGCACAGTCTTTCAAATATCGACTCCGTTTGTCACAACGTCTAGGTCCGCCTTGTATGTATGTATATTTCCAAGTATCCAGTTTTCAATGGGTTGCGTAAAAGACACGCAAGTAAGAAGCACCTTTCTTCGTCACTGACTTTCGTCATTGCATCATGCAGCTGTCTCTTTTAACAACAAACATGTAAATTCATGTCATGTCTTTATACAATCGTTTTATTTCATTTGAGGATTAAGAAACACACAACCAGATTATTTTCATTCCAATACAGTTTAAAGTTAGTTTATCCCTAAATCTATGGCAACATACCGCGTAGCATTGACCAGGTAAGTCCATCGACAACGTGTCATAGTTCTAATATCAATTAAATTTACTGTACAAAATAAAAATCCCGTAGCTGGCACTTCAGGAGGAAGGTTTGCATGTACTTAATTCTTAATCGAGAAGATTTGATGTCTATTGGTTTCACGGAAGGTATAAAAGACACGTGAATGTAGAACACTGAATATAAGTTTTGAATTACTACACAGCGATCGTATCGCCAAACGATGAATTAAACCGCAGCACACAGTTTTCATTTTCTAAGACTCGTCAGTGTTGCTAGGGACCTCAAGTATTAGAATGCGATTGAGGGGAATTAAAACGGGTCTGGATCAGTTTCAGAATATAATGAAAATGGGGAACTGCTCTAGACGGTAATAGAGTGCTAGTCAGTGAAACATTTCACAAAGCGTTGACATGGTGACCTACAATAATGTATATAAAATGTATCTGCAGAATTTATTTGAATTTATCCCATGTTTCTCGTTATTCGCTAACATAGTATCTGATAGTGACAGAATATAAAAGAAAAGCATACCACACAGGATATATTCTATATTTGGCAGTATCAATTTTTATTTTCATTGTCCCTATAGTGAAATGGAAGTTATATGTTTCAGTTTTCAAAAGCGATTTCTTGACGGCGCTAATCATAACGATTTGAAATAAAAACTAGATACATAATTTATTTTCAGGTAATTGCAAGATTCAGAACAAGATGACTTAACTGATGATAAACGATATATTATGTGTATTCTACATTAGATCCTGATGAATGTTTTGATTTCACTACTCTTTAATGCCTACAGGTATAAGTAACATACTCTTTAAACTAACATTGGTACTGTTACTTATACGAATAACATTTTTCTTATCACTGTTTAGTCAACACAAAGTAGTTAATTATTTTTTTTTATCAAAAAAAGGCCTCATAATTTCAACAAGAGTATCGCACTGTGTTTCCGAGGAAGCTATTCCTGAAACCTAAATACATATGGTATTTGAAATTTAGACGCCAATACGGCAGCGTAGCCCATTGGTCAATCTTGGCTTCACTTTAGAATTGCACATTAGGCAACATATCATTCTATTTTAAGAAAATGAAATACCATAGAGAAACGTCAGTTAATAGGGAATGACAATAACAAGGAAACTTTAGTATGAAACGCTGTAAAAACGTAAGCGGTTTTTTAAACTATGAAATATTGGACCATAGGGCATGCATATTTTGTTTTTACATCCTTGTCAATTTTATTGGGGTAGAGATTATGAACATACTATTGACTGCCAATTCAGTTTAAACGCCACGTGGGACAACGGTTAACGCAATGACTGCTTTAAGTAGAATAAATTGAATTTTTATTATCATTTTCTGAAAATAGGACTGGTTTGGCATAAAAAATGTCTACCACAGTTGATAAGAAAATGAAATATTTCACTTGAGAAATCGAAAGTAAAATAAAAGTTTATGCTGTATATCACACCATTTCCTATCCATCGTTACTAGACAACCACCGCCTCCAAGGTACATCGTACATCAACTGGGCAGTGTGGGGGATGGAAACACATTCCCATTACTTGCAACCACTCCCCCCTCCATGCTGAAATGCTGTTAAAAGGGGGTAGTATTTGGAAATATAGTAATATTCGATTCACATTTTACGGTAAATTTGAATTATCGTAAAATATTATTCTGTCAAAATAAAG